AGACAGCCAGCTCCAGGTTGGGAAATACCTGTGAATTTTAGGGTTGCCAGGTCTGGGTTGGAAAATACCTGGAGACTTTGGGGTTAGATCCAGGAGAGGGCAGGATTTGGGGAGGGGCCTCAGCATGGTACAATGCCATAGAGCCCACCCTTCAAAGCTGCCATTTTCTCCAGGGGGAAAAACAACACTCAAACAAACCCTGTGATATGAATGACATTTAGTAAGTTTATTGTCTTAGCCATAGGCCATAACATAATACATCAGACTATAAAATGTCAATATAGACAATTAAAAAAAATCAGTATACTCCTTCTACTTTACATTAAATACTGAACTCATTCTGATTTTCCTTGTTGCTAAGGCAAATAACACCATTCTGATAGAGACATAGTGGTCAAGGTCCGAGAGTAAAAATTTGACCAGATCCAGATCGGAGAGTCCATTATGCTGTGGAATAATAGGGATTATGTACTTTAGCCTAGGGGCTTCATGCCATGGGCAACTCAGAATATAATGTACAATATCATCAACTTCCCCCATATCATAAAGACAAAGTCTAAGGGGGGCAGGGATACCAAAGAAACATTCAGTCCTGAACATTGAGGGCATGGATTGAAATCTTAAAGCTGTAAAAGACGATCTTAATTCCAGGCTGGTTAACTTCTCTAAATACAGGGACCTACAGTGATCCCTTTTAGAATAATGGTGCCTTAAGACAACGTGCCATCACATCCTGATCCATAAGCCCATCCTTTTTGAACACCCATTCCTTCAGTTCTCATGCTTGAGCTTTATTCCTTAATAGATTATCAGGAATTGAACATTTTAATTGAATCGAGGCCAAATGGTCACCTAATCTCTTGGAGGCTTTCAGGTGCAAACTAAAACTTAAATCCCCCAGGGAATCCTGGGGTCGTTCTAAACATTTTCTCCAATAGGATAGAATTCTGACATTGACTCTGGCATTCAATGAGGTGATTCCCAGTTCAGCCCTCATTAATGCCACTGGCGCACCCCTTGGCAAGGCGAGAATCCACTTCATAAAATAATTCTGTACTATTTCTAATGAGGACAATATCTGATCTCCCCAGCCCCAGATCTCTGATCCATATAGCATGGCTGGAATTATCCTCCCCTAGAAAAGTAGAACTTCAGTAGAGCCCCCAAATTCTTCATAGCAGCAGCTTTTAATGATGTAATGCGGGGGCGCCAGGAGAGAGTTTCAGAAAAGGTTAAACCCAGATATTTATACGTGCTGCATTGTTTGATCTGGGTGCCAAGAATGCTCCAGGTAGATTTCTTTGGGTGTTTCCTAAAAACCAGAACTTTTGATTTGGCATAATTTACGTGCAAGCCTTCCGCACTGCAGTACTCACCCAATTTATTCAGCAGTCTCCTCAAGCCAATCTTGGTTAAGGACAGAAGGACCATATCATCTGCATACAGAAGGACTGGAACCTTATATTGTCCAATGGCCGGTGCCAGATATTCACTACCTTCTCAACTAGCTATTATATCATTTAAATACAAATTGAACAAAGTGGGGGCTAACACACAACCCTGTTTCACCCCTTTCAGCACTTGGATGTCCTTGGTGAATAAGCCTTCTTTCCCAACCTTAACCTTTACGTTGGTATCACAATGTAGGTAGCTAATCAGATATACCAGCCACGGGTCAATGTTGATGTTCAAAAGCTTCTGCCGTAATCTACCTCTATCTAAAGAGTCAAATGCCGAAGCCAGGTCAATAAAGCCTGCATATGGGGCTTTTGTAGGGCCTCTAATGGCCTCTGAAGCCAAGGTATATAGAGTTTGACAGTGTTCAATGGTAGAATGACCTTTTTTGAACCCTATTGGGAGGGGATGGATTAAATTATTATCAATAAAAAGCCTCCTCGATTTTGCTGGCTGATGCTTTCCATGAACACTATCTATTATAGTAGTAGCAAACCAGTCCTATTATTCTCCCCCGCTGAAACCCTTCAATTTTCAAATGGCTGGCAAATGCTCAGCTCCGCTGGAGCTGGCAAATGGCAAAACTGAGGAGGCTTTTTGCACCCAGAGAGGTCTGGCTTGCTCCCAATATAAACACTCATAATGGAACCAGAAGGCATTTTGAAGGAAATAAAGAAGTTTGCTCCTATTATAATACTGAGCTGGATTAAGAAGCTGACACCTCCTCACTATATAGGATTACTCCTGAGGAAGACTACTGTTGAAATGAGCTTATAACTGGGTGCTCATTGAGAATGTTGGACTTTTTTGCAGTACTGTAAAGTTGAGAATGTTGGACAATTTTTGTAATCTTATAAAGTTTTAAAAGCAATATGTTTCTTACTAAATGTCATTCATATCACAGGGTTTGTTTGAGTGTTGATTTTCCTGCTGGATACTTGTGATCCCTTTTTGGTTTGTGATTTTCTCCAGGGGAGCTGATCTATGTCAGCTGGAGATCAGTTGTAAAAGCGGGAGATCTCCAGGTACAGTTGTCAGCCTCCAGATGGGGCCTGGGGCTCTCCTGCTTTTACAACTGATCCCCAGCTGACAGAGATCAGCTCCCCAGGAGAAAATGCCTGCTTTGAATGGTGGCCTCTATGGCATTGTACCATGCTGAGGCCTCTCCCCTCCCCAAACCCCACCCACTCCTGGATCCACCCTCAAAGTCTCCATGTATTTTCCAAACCAGACCTGGCAACCCTATCTCCAGGCCCCACCTGGAGGCTGGCAATTCTATTTGGGAGGATGGAACCTAGAAAGGGTGGTGTTTGTTTTTGTGAACCACTTTATAAACAATTGTTTAAAAGCTGTCTTAAAAAACCACAAATAAATAAACATCTCAGGCTTGAGGCAGAAGTATAAAAAGTGTAGTTTCATTGGTTAGCTGGTGTGGAGGTGTTGTTTATGCATAACAGTATTAAGAAAGTATAGGGCTCTGCCAATGCACATGGCAGGAGCCTACAATCTAAGTCTGACAGAGTGGAAGTAAAAGGGAGAGGCAAGAGTAAAAAGCTTTGAAGATGGGGAAGTGTAATTTCACTTCTTCATTATCTGTGTGCAGCACAGTAATGGGTGTTGCACCTCTGCAAAACTATGACTGGGACATTTCTAGGCCTAGCTTTTAGGTGCAAAAAAATCTCCCCCTAAGAAATGCTGTCTTGGACTACACATGGCTAAAAGGGGAGGAGTTGTGCCTTCCCACTCAGTTTCTTTTGATCCACTACAGCAACATCTAGGGATGTCTCTAAGAGAATTTAGCTGCTCTTTTTTATCCATTTATGTAAAGCATTTATGCCTTGCACATCAAGATTTCATTACTGAGGCAGCTGCCAGAAAATCAAAATATTTTTAAAAAATTAAAATACAAGTCTTAAAATATCAGTCCAAAAAAATAAAATTGGAGTACAGTATAAAACAGTATAAATCAAAACACTCCAAAAACAATATTAAACATAGAAAAAGGAGGGGGGGGATCATCAAAAAGCCTGTTTGTTTTTGTCTGACCACTAAAATGTCTTTGCCTGCCAACGAAGCATGCCCAGTGCATGGCATATCACTGCAGGCAGGTGCCACACTTCTCCAAAGGCCCTACAATATACTTAGGCTTCACTTCCATTGGGATGTAAGCTACCTTCAGCGACAATATCAGATCCTGCCCTCGAAATAAATTAGTTTTACACCTCTGCTTTAAGCCCATTGATTTAAATGGGTTTAGAAGAACATAATTCTGATTTGGGTTTCACAATAAATGTCTGGAAGCCAACATCAGGTAAGCTTTTCCTGTAGCTGCCACATGTGTAAATGGTGATAAGGTTGTCCCAGGGTTAGCCTTAATAAAACAGAAGTTCAGTGACACTTCACAATGCAATCCTGGGCAGAGTTATGCCCTTTTAGGTCCATTGAAGTGAATGGTTTTAAAAGGCTATAACTTAGGTTAGGATACCCGAAAAGGTTAGACTACCAAACCTTAGTGAAGCAGGATGGGCCTTTTGCACATGGGGAAGCTTTTGAATCATCTTCTATGGAAAATCCAATAAACTATCACCCCATCACTCAAAGGTCACATCTGCCAGGAAGTGACATCTGTTCTTTTAAGGCATTGTGGGAGTATCATTTCTCCATTTATTTCCCTGTTCATTTGAACCCAGAAACATGAGGAAAGGAAATCCTAATATCTCACACTTCATCAGTCATTATTTCTAGGAAAAGTTCTTGACTGAAATGGGAATGATAGCACCTTTGTAAGTTTGCTGTGAAGAATGAACAAACACTGGACCATTTTGTGGATTAAACCTGCTTTCTTGTAATAATAATTATTAATAATAACATGGCTAGAAACCTGTGATACAGCAAGCCTACTGAAGCTAAGCCAGTCTAGGTCTGGTCAGAGCCTGGATGGGAGACCTCATGGGAAACCCGTGTATACCACCTTGAGTTTCATGACGGTAGAAAGGTGTCATATAAAAGTAATAAAATAAGTAATAGTGAGCATTTGTTCAACTTTGTATGATTTTTATGTATGCGAAACCATTTGTGTCAACCGTTCAAATCTTGGGTTGATAGGCTTTAGGGATGCCAGCTTCCAAGTGGGACCTGAGGTTCCCCCAGAATTACAGCTCACCTCCAGACTACAGAGATCAGTTCCCCTGGAAAAAACGGATAATGTGGACAGTATGGCATTGTACCTCACTGAGGTCCTTGTCTTCCCCAGGTTCCACCCCAGGCTCCACCCCCAAGTCTTCAGGAGTTTCCCAACCAGGAAAAGACAACCCCACCCCTTCCCCTGCCAGTGGCCAAAGGGGACCTGGCAACCCTAATAGGCTTCCCTTTGCCATGTTTTTTTTTAACATCTTTGAAAATTTCTTAATTCTGTATTTTTAAAATTGTACTCTCTGGGTGTGTTTGTTGTCCTGTCTCCTTTGAATGCAAGTAGAGGCCGGAGATCACTCAAACTAATAAGCAAACATGGTGCATCTCTTGATCGTGTGTCTTTGTTTTCATAGCCTTCACCAGTCTTTGTCTCAAGAAGTGAATCTGAAGGATCAGTTCAACTCTGCTCTGATGACATATGAAAAAGCTCTGAAAAACAGAGAGGAGATTGTCTCCATGCTTCTTCTTCAAAATGAGGAACTGGCAACCCAGCTTCAACAAACGGCAGAGGAGAAAGCAAACATGGAATTAAAGTTTCAGCATGCTTCAGAGGCATCACAGGAGGCCAGCAAAAAAATTCAAAAGTACGTCAATTTATTTCTAAAAATGCCATTTGTCAACTAATGGATTGTTATTTCTTTTTCGATGGTATAAAACAGATTGAAGTTGTTGTTCTTGTTGCTTAAAAAGGGAGAGGCTACTGGAGTTTTTAAAAGAGACTTAAACTTTGTTTAAACAATTCAACAGATTTAGTAACATCATTATTCCATTTCTTCCTTCAGCAACAAAACATTAATTCTTTGTTCGTTCATAAATAATTTAGCATGCTCACACTATCTACAGGTGGGAGAGGATTACTCTACTGTTTTTATCCATGTAAAATATTTTCCTAATAGCTAATTCACACATTAGTTTTATCTGTCATCCACTTGTTGTGACCACAACCATTTAGCATAGTCATAACTAGAAAGGGAAAGTACCATGGGGGAAAATAGGGAAAGTACCATGGCATTGATCCAGTTAATCTCCTTTCTTCTGCATGACTGACTTTAAAATTTTTTTGAAACAGCAGGAGATACCCTCATGTATCTGATGTACCCCAATGAACAGTTTCAGACATTCAGGTGAACAAGGGGAGTGCCTTCTACCTTGCACTTACTCAACCCTGCCATTAAGAACATCAGAAGAGCCCTGCTGGATCAGACCAATGGCCCATCTAGTCCAGTATCCTGTCTCACACAGTGGCCAACCAGTTCCTTTGGACAGCCAACTCCAAGGCATAGAGGCTGAGACCTCTGTCCTGAGTCTACTGCCCATCAGGTTCATTGGATGCCTTCAAGTTCTAGTATTTTGGGAGAGGGAGAATAAGATTCTCTTTGTCAACCCTCTCTACCCTATGCATAATTTTATGAACCTCTATCATGTCCCCTCCCCCTTTGTCATATCTTTTCTAAATTGAAAAGTTTCAGATTCTTCAGCCTTTCCTTATAGGGAAGGTGCTCCAAATCCCTAATCATCTTGGTTACCCTCCTCTGCCATAAGCAGTGTTGTACATATTGTGAAGTGCACAGTCACTGACACAAAGGCTGTGTGCATCTCTTACCAGGAGTAAATGAAAACCTCAGCAGAGCAGTGTGAGGACATGTAAGCATGACCTGTTTTAGCCACATTATTGAACATCCCAGAACCTCTGACACAGCTACAAAATATCAGCAATCAAAAATACCTGTTTTAAGAGTATTTCCCATTAAACCAAAATACTGTATTGAACAAGATAGACTACATGAATAGATGGATGAAAATGGTGGATAAAATTGGGACTGATTGAAACTACTCAGTAAGATGGCATTTAGTATGTAAAGCCTTATAAATTACTCTCCGGATTTCCAAGCTGTGATTGCTGCCCTGAATTGCAGTATATCAGCGTTTCTCGGCTCTTCAAAATGAAGAGTTCTTCTTACACAGTACCTGATGAATGAACAGCCTACTCCCATTGCCTGTCTGTGGACTTGCAGTTTTCATTTGGTAGAAAACAAAGCTGTGCTCTGGGTTCCTGGGAAATAGAATCACAGCAGACAACCTCTCCCCAGCTATGGTTGAGTCCTCACCTCTTGTTGTGCCTTGGTCCTTGCCTGCCACACCAGAATTCCTTCCTCCTTCTTATATAGAAGAGAATGGGTCACTTCACGTGCACTTGCACAATTTTAGAACTGAATGAGACGAAGCTGGGTCGTTAGTGGTGGGAGAACCTTGTTCCAGTGTGGTAGCCTCATGCCATCCAGCAGTTTCCAGGCCCAGCTTCTCTCATGTTATTATTCTTCCATTTAATAACCACCTCTCATTGCCAGAATATCCAGACTGAATCAAAATGAATTAATGTAGGTTTTTTTCCCCTCATTGAAAAGTGGAATAATATGAGTGTTAATGTCACTTTAAATTTATATATGAGCAGTCTCCCTGCAAAAGAACTTAATGCCGACGTCAGCTTGCTTACCAGAATAACCAAGTTTAATCAAAAGCTAGGTTTTTATTGGCTAGCTTGCAGCTAGATTAAATTAATAACAAGCCTTGAATACAAGTTCATCTCAATTCTTGTCATTCAGTTGTTCAGTGTCATGGAGAGAGATTGCGAAACAGGAAAACTGAATGCCAAAAAGGTCATCTTCTTTTGACAGATTTCTCACAGAAAGTCTCTAATCTGAACTTCCTGAAAAGCCCTGGCTTTACAGGAAGCTCAAAAGTTGGCAATCATTTTGCACTGAAACTCTTTCTCCTTTGCTTGGCTTACGCACTGAAACCCATGGTTTTTAAATTTTCATATTGTGCTATATGTAAATTGAGATACACCGATTTTTTTCAATTGGAATTAAGATGACTGAAAACTGGTTTCTGTTCTATGACAAACTGTGCTGAAGTCAGGCACTGTTCAAAGTGAGACTGGCAGTTTAGAACATTATCTGTCCCTTTCTATGAAGTGACACTCAGCTATTTATTCAAAGCATACAGAACAAAAATATATATACAAGAATACTAAATAATTATAGCAGACTTCTTCTCCATGATGGTTTGGATCCTTTCCAAAACTTCTCTGCATCCCACCTCCCACTGCAGCCCAAAACACCCCCTCAAATGCTGCTCCTGAAATCCCCAAGAGCAGCATGGGGGGGGGGATCAGAAATCAGCCTCCCTTGAGTGCACAGATCTTTTCGACAGGATCCAAGCCCGTATATGATTTCTGTCAGTTTCTTACCTACCCACTTGCTTTGAGCCAGACTTGCTTCTAGAAGTCCTGTAAATTTAGTAATTCCTTCTTGGTACAGTAGCCAAGGGGGAAACATAGTATACAGCCAGTGCCGTAGCACTAAGCAATGAAATGCTGTTCTATAATGCTATTATACAATCACAGTCATTTAGATATTGGTTAATTCCCAGTGATAGAATATGGGCTAATTTTACAACAGCGGGAACAGAGGGCTTGTTTTGGGTATTCACGTTGCTTTCTGATAACCTTTCTTTTTCTGATATTTTACTGGCTATTATGAAACTGTTTTTGAATTCCCTCTGACTATTTTGTTGCAGCAATCCTAAGAACACAGTAAGACTTACTTCTGAGTATACCTGCCTAGGATTGCTTCCTATGTCTCTCAAAGTTGTTTTTACTCACTTTTCAGCTGTAAAAGTAAATAGCAGTGAAACAGTGGCAATTCACATTTCTCTCCTGCATATTTTGTATCATTTCAAGCCGGTGAGTCATGCATGCAAGGGAAGAAGGACTACATAGTCGAATACATTTGTACTCCTCCCCTTCTGCCATGAAATGAGACTTCAGTGCTGTCTTGCTCTAAATTACAGCACTATGGGGTAAGCCACTTTGGGTCCTGATTGGGGAGAAAAGCGGCATATAAATAAATAATAATAATAAGAAATAAGAAGATTGGAGTAGCAGCAGCAGAACAGGAAGTATCTCATTAAAGGGGTCCTTTCTATTATGGGGTTTTGAAAGTACCATCACTCTTGGGGTGCAACTGTCACCCTGTTTTGGCCATGGTCAGAATGCAGGTGTTCCAGTTTGCCCACTGGAATGCTTAGTTAGGGAATAGTGATTAAATCCAGATGTGCATCTGCCCATGAAGAGAGTACAGCTTAGCATGAGAATGCCCAGCTAGAAATCTGGGAGAGGGTATGCCAAAAGGGAAAAGACAGAGGATGGCACCAGTGCTCTGACACAACTTGGGCCATTTGGATAGGGGAGAGTGCCAGTGTTGCTTTCATCACAATTCGTGTTCCACAGTTCAGAGTGCAGCCTTGCATATGGGAAGGAAGGACCAGGAAGAAACCGAACAGACACCAGGAGAGAACAAAGCCATCAAGACCACATGTCATGACAGGGGCCTTTGTTTGGTTAGGAGAGAATCTTAAAACCCAAAATTTAGAATCTGCTTCACAATAGTGTGAAATGAGCTGATGCTGTAAACCTGATGCTGAACCTGGCACAAAACAAAGCCTATTACAGTATGCTTGAAAGAATAGTATACCTTGTACACCAACATCCATCTTCTCCATACCATACCAACAGTTGCCATGGATATGTGATGCAGGCATGGAAATGCTGCATATGTTTGGGCCAACACTGAGGGCAAGTGATTTTTCCAGAGCTATTTTTGGGCAGGAACACACAGGAACGGAGTTCCAGCTGGCTTCAGAGTTGGTCATGCCCACTACAGCTGAAACCTCTGCATGCATGGCCTCACGAGCGACACCCCCGCCCCCGGGCAGGCCAGGGGAGGCCCTGGAAGGATCAGGGAGGCATTTAAATGCCTCCCCGTGCCTTCCCTGGCCTGTCCAATGGCTGGCTAGTCCGGGCTGCGGGGAGCCCGAGCAAACCAAGGGAAGACAATTTAAACTGCCTTCCCTCCAAGGGCTGGCTTGCCCAGGCTCCCCACAGCCCTGGGGCACCCAGGCAAGCCAAGGGAAGGCAGTTTAAACTGCCTTCCCTTCCCTTCAAGGGGGGGTTGTCTGAGCTCCTCACAGCCACGGGGCGCCCGGGTAAGCCAAGGGAAGGCATGGGGGTGTGGCCTAATAGTCTAATGAGCTGCACTTTTAGGGGTGTAACCTAATATGCTAATGAGTTTTTGCTGTTGGGTGTTGCCTATTATGCTAATGAGTTCCTGCTGGGCTTTTTCTACAAAAAAAGCCCTGGGTTTTTCAGTGTTTCACCTCTCATGTAATGTTGTCACAGACAAGTATTTCTGGCCAGGCCCCAGGAAGCTGTGATGTTTAAACACACAGCCTCCCAAGAAGCTTCAGAAGTTGGGATGGATGGAATTTTTTAAAAATTATTTTTATTTTTATTCATTTTTTCAGCAAGAATGGCTCGAGTGTGCATAGACTGACTGCCAATCCCCAAGAAAGCAGTCTGTTCGTGGAAGCTATAATTTTAGACATATAATCCATGTTTTGAAGTAGTTCTAGTACACAAGAAATGGGAGCAGTTCCAAACCACATTTTACTTATTGCCCTTTTCATGTGTGTAAATGGGGTTAATTTGTGTTCTCTGTCTGCACATTCACACGAATGTGGACAT